GATGTCCATGTCCATCAAAGAAGGTACCGTCTTATCTGAAATATCCAACGCCAAAGCGAAAGGCGAATCGCCAGAAGAAATGGGCTCGAGAGCGAGAAACACCAACAATCTGTCGACAAGTACGCTCTTGGTCATATCCCAGCTCTATCAAGAATACCAAGTGCAACTACGCGAGAACAACTCGTTGGACTTTGATGACTTGCTGGTGTATGCGTTGAGGCTGTTTACGGAAGCTCCGAGGGTGGTCGAGAATGTAAAGCATATCTTGGTAGACGAGTTCCAAGTGAGTGACTCCTTCGATGGTCTTGATTATCCTGCTGAACGATGATTAGGATACGAACATAACCCAATATGAGCTCTTGAAGTGTTTTGCCAGGGCACATATGGGAGTCAGCGTAGTCGGAGATCCGGATCAATCTATCTATGGCTGGAGAGCTTCCGATATAGAGAATCTCAACAAGATGTACAAGGGTGAGCGCACTTCTCCTTGTGTGGAGCTTGACTGATCTGAGCCTTCTTAGACTTTCCCGGGGTCGACGCCGTATATCTCGAAGAAAACTACCGCTCGACTGGAGCTATTCTGGATGCCGCCCACGCCGTAGTATCGCAAGGTAGGTCTCCGAGGTCTCCGTCCGGGTACCCCGCTCATTCAATGTAGATAGCAAACGTATCCAGAAGAACCTCTTCACGTCCCACCCCCAAAGTACCCCCGTCATCCTTAAAACGTTCTCCACACCCACCATCGAAGCGAGCTTCATCTCTTCCGAGATCAAGCGGCTTATTGCCTATTCTGGAGGCATGCTCAAGTACGATGACTTTGCCATTCTACGTGAGGGACTTGTCTCTTCTGTCCTTGAATAAGGTCTGATGTTTGTTGGCAGTGCGATATAACGCGTTGTCCCGAGTGATTGAGTCTGCCCTCCAAAAAGACAGCGTTCCCAACAAAATCGTGGGCGGGCACAAGTTCTTTGAGCGTATGGAAGTCAAAGATCTCCTTGCATACTTGCAACTCGCCGATAACCCCAGCTTCAGTGTATGCGTATATTTCTCGCTCGGGGCGCATAGCTGACGCGCCCATAGCCCGCTTTTCTGCGAGTGATCAATGTCCCGAGAAGATTCATCGGCGAAAAGGTAAGCGTCTCCATGCTGTCTCGACCCACGACGCTGACCATCACCACAGGCTCTCCGAGCTATTCTCGACGGCGCAAGAAAGGACAGCATTACCCCCATGGAACTATGCGAACGTATCACCGACGGTGACCAGCTCCCGGAGGGTATCAAGCCGAACGTGCAAAAGAGCTTGGCGAGCTTTGTGGGTGCTGTGAGGAAATTGAGGAGGGCGGCGGAGAAGGGGACGACGGTGGGCGGTCTGATCAAGATGGCGATCGAGAGGACGGGGTATGAGGATTATCTGAGAACTTCTCAGCAGGACTTTGATTCGCGGTGGGAAAACGTCAAGGAATTGGTGGGTCTGCGTGATGTCTGTGGATGCCATACTGACGAAACATCAGATATCCTACAGTGTGACTGTTGCCGAAGAACAAGATCGCGCGGGGGAGAATCGCGAAAACCGAAGCTCTGAGGATCTCGACGACATTGGCTTCCAATGCCCCGTGACTGCCGCCGTTGAGGCCATCGCCAACAAGACATACGACGACGAAAAGGCAAAGGAAGAAAAGAAGTTGCATCCCATGTTTGCGCGGAGTAAAAGTGCCAGTGGGAGCAGGAGTCGGAGCGCTAGTGTGAACAACAAGAAGGCTGTCAGAACGAAGGAGGGACAAGATGGGGTAGTGGAGCTGTTGGATAGCGATGATGAGGACATCAAGCCGAACGAGGGGCTGGCGAGTGTAAGCGAAGGGGCAAAACCGAAAATGGAGGTGAACAAAGAGAAGGTTGGTGACGTTGAGGAAGTATCAGCCGATCTCGTGGAAGAGCTTGCCAATGCGCCCGAGAAGTGAGTCTGCCTCGTCATGGATTGAAGATATACTGACGATCATTAAGCCTTACTCCTTTGGCGTACTTTCTGCAGGTCTCGATGCTGTCGACGGACACAGAATCTGAAGAGCAGCAAGACAACAACGACACCCCCGTGAGTGACGCGTGCTTTGTCTGGCCAAGTCCTGACCGCTATATGCAGAAAGTCACCATCACTACCGTGCATTCCGCCAAGGGCTTGGAGTGGCCGGTCGTCTTTATCCCTGCCGGTACGTTACGCTCTTGGCTCTCATGACCCTACTAACGATTGCCATAGTTGAACAAGGAACGTTCCCTTCATATCGATGTACAGAGGAGCATGAGATAGCCGAAGAACGTCGTCTGCTCTATGTCGCTATGACCAGGGCTCAATGTTTCTTGGTGAGTATTCGTTGGCTCCTCATGAACGCGTTGCTGACTGGACCGCTAGACCCTCTCTCACTGTCAATTCCGAATGATGGGCGGTGAGGACAAGGACAAGGAGCTGAGCGAGTTTGTGGGCGATGTCCGGCGCAAACTACCTGTGAGTACTTGGCTTGTTGTGCGAGACGTTGCTTATCCATCGTCCAGGGCATGTTTGTACAAGACCTACCGAAACCGGATGCGGAGGCCAGGAAGCGCGTGTCGGCGATGCTAGGAAGACCGCTCGGCGAAGAGACCGACACTACCGCCATGATCATGAAGCAGTGGGTCAAGTCCAAACAAGCCTGGCACAGCTGACCAAGTAAACAGCGTTCGTGCTGCGCCACCGATGAGCACTTGGGACGCGCCAGAGTCAGGCAGTTGGGGGGGCAAGACCAACCGCTTCGCCCGCCGCGAAGTTACCAAAGCCACTCGCGGTGCCGAATATTGGGCTTCCGACACCGACGAGTACGCTCTCCCGGGATCCGCTGGCTCGTCCATTGCGGGCTTCCAATCCGCCCGTTCAAGCATGTCCCAATCCCGCCCCCCATTCCCCTCCGAGCCGAAAAAGCCGCCGCCACAACCAGTCAACAATTTGTCTGCAAACAAAAACTTGCCGACTGCTTTACCGTTCACGTTCAACACGGCGCCTCAGCAGAGCGCGGAAGCGTCGCTGGGGACTTTTATGAAAGGTTCAAACAAGGGTTTGGAGATGATGGCAGGTTTGGGTGGACTGCCGCCTGCTGAGGCGCCAGCACCTGGAGGAAGCGCGGGTAGAGGGATCAAAAGGTTGGGAATGGGTCGGCCTGCGCCTTGGGGTAGTAAGAAGGCTCGAGAGGGTTGAGTGATCTGTCACCGTCTGAATGATGTCTTGTATCACTATTTGAAAGCATGTATCTTTAGCGCTGATTTCTTCATGCGAATTGTACTGTAATGCAAATCTTTATCTGGGCATATCACGAGATATCATCCCTAGACAATACAGCGCGGAGATTGTTTCCTATTTACTGGGCTTCGTCTTGGCCTTTGGGTCCTTACTCGGGGCGTTCTTCTTCTCTTTGTCTTTATCCTTATCTTTATCGCTTCCATCACTCTTTTTTCTTTGCAGGAGGCTCAGGTAGAAAGTTGCCGATGAATTTGATGGCTCCCTGGCATCGAAATTGAGTACTCGCTGCTGCCTGATTCGCAAGCTTTCACACTCACGAATACTGGTATCTTTGACGTGATCTTTTTGGTTTTGGAATCTTTTTTTTCGTCATGGTAGATTATGCTGTACATGCAGATGCAGAATATGCATTTGAGCTGTCAATAAAAGCCTGTAAGTAGTGTGTAGGGCGATGAGGAGAAAGAACTGACCTTTGGCCACCAAGTCAGAGTGCGGGTCTGATCTCGAAACATCAACAGCTCAAAGTATTCAAGCACCATCAGAATTGGCCAGTAAGACAGCCTTGGTTTAGAGTATCAGTAGGATCTAGAGCAGATGTCGAGCGAGGCTTACCAAAGAGTTCTATCCTTCCCCGAGTTGATCGACTTGTAAGTGCAAAACATCGGTATTAAATAGATGCAGGGCCAGGGGATCAGAAAATGGTAATACCATGGCGTTGCATACCTTTGCCATGATCAGTCTAGCACATTCTGGTCACCCGAAATGATTCACCAGTATGCAAATTGCAAGACCACCCATATACCTATCGCGAGATGCGGAGGAGCGACAACATCCAGAAACTCGTACACCGCTGGGCACCACGCTTTTATCTACACTTCGGTCAGCGCTACACGACGTCTCAAAGCCCTCGCTCTGTCACAACCCAATAGATACGTACCCAACCATCCGCCATCTCCTCAGCCTTCACACTCTCCGGGCTGAGCTCACTCCGCTTCTTATCCTCCTTCTTCTTCGCCTTTTTGATCTCTTCTTCTTCATCTTTCTCGGCTTGCTGGGCGAGATGTATATGGCAAAGGGCCGCTTGCTGGGCTGGACCCCAACCTTCTCCAGCTAGGGCAGCTGCCTCGACTTCGGTTGGTTTATTGGACATCGAGACGATCAGAGGCAGGAACATAATGGAGGAGGCCAGGAGTCAAGCCTTGTATACTTCAACTATGGGTATCAGTGATCCCGTACTCCTTTGTGCTCATTATTCCTTTGACAAGAGGTCAGTACCTAGCTGACCGACAATGGCCATGAGGACTACCGTTATAGATGGTGACATTACCCTGCAATGCGGCTGCATTTCCGGAACAAAGGCTGACACATGAAGGCTGTTGACCAGACACAAAAGAAGAAACAGCCTATCGTCCGCAAGGAGTATTAGTCTGCCGCAAAATCATGACTTTGGCAGGCTCCATATTTGCCCTTCAAGAGCGTCCGTTCTATGGGCCTGGTTCCCCCTCCACCGTAGTCCAGAAACCATTGTTGCGCTTGGGATAATTACAAGTCCGGGAGAGGATACCTTGGCGCGTGGTGCCGTCAAAGAGGTGTCTTCTGAAGTCAACAAGTCGCGTAAGAAAATGGATATGATCTATCTGAGGGCAGCAATACGTAGCTATGACTCGGAGCTACCTGTCATAGCTTGGAGGACATGCATAAAAGAAGGAAAGGGCAAAAAAAACAAAACAAAAAGAAATAGTTCTGGTGGGGGTCGAACCCACGGCCATCCGCGAACCCCAAGGCCCACTTCAAAATCTTGTAAAGCGGGTACTCTAACCACTGAGCTACAGAACTTTGGACATTTAGCATTGTTTAACAGCAGCTATAATTGATAAACCCGCGACATGTCAGAAACTTTGCTTCTCGGTACACCGACGACGAGGGGCTGACAATCTTGGGCGACAAGGAGTGACGGCGGGCATGACACAGCTGCATCTGAGATGGAGACATGCCACTGTTATGCTGCACACACTCAAGCTGAAAATGAGGGAGAGACCTACCGCACGTGTGTGAGAGTCAAACGCGCGCGTCTGTCAGTAGTCTACGTGATAAAGCAGAAGAAATTACCGGTTTCGTCGCTCTAGTCTAGGTGCCGCCCTTCCCGTTATCGTACAGCACCATGCTTTCAGAGCTTTCAGCAGAGATTTTAGCTTAGGCAAACAGGGGGCAGGCGCAGGCGACAGGCGACAGGCGAGAGATATTGACCGGGGCATGATGCCTCAAGTGATTTCGACAAAGAAGCAAATGCATGTTGGCATCTTGGTTGTCAATATTTTCGCGTCACGTTCGTCATCTGTTCGGATTCCGGTCCGGAACGATCCCTGTCATACTGTCCGCATCTGTCCCTCAAGCTGAAGTCAATTCAATTTCATAACTGTCCACGTTCTTGACGATTGCGCACAGTCTGCTGTCCGCTGCCCAGTATTCGGCTGTCGGCTTCGGCAAATCCCTCTCTCTTGGCTTGATATATATTCTGCGCAACCTGCTGCTGGCATCGTCTTTTCAATCTTCGCATAACACTATTATTATCAGTCCCATTCGAGGCTTGTACTATGGTCTTGACTCTAATATCGGCTACCGCCCTTATCGCGATTACTACACCAGCTCTTGCTGCCCCTTTCCGACGATGGGAGTACTCCAAGTATTGGGACTTGCAAGGTCATCGAGGTGGGCGTGGGGAGACGGTCGAAAAGTGAGCACTCCTCGCCCAGCTGAGTATAGACTGACCCCCTGATAGCACACTCCCGTCTTTCTCATGGGGCCTGATCAATGGCGTGACGTCCCTTGAGATGGACTGTGGGTAGCGAGCCAGCGAGCATTGGTACTACAACTGCTGATATCCGAGTACAGGCGGCATAACGAAAGATGGTGAAGTCGTGGTTTGGCACGATGAGAACTTCGTGGATACCAAGTGTCGAGATACCTCCCCTGTCTTTGAAGACGACCCCGACTATCCTTATGTGGGCAAGTACATTGCCAACCTGTGAGCATCTATCTATTCGGCCTACCGAGAAATGTTTGGTGTCGCTCATCATCTGGGTGTAGCACGCTGGCTCAGATTAAGACTCTCGACTGTGGCTCATTGCGACAGGTGGACTTTCCACTTCAAGGTACGTATGAACGACTTGTAGCTCTACATCTCAACTTACGCAGTCTGCAGATGTATATGCGGGCACCAAAGTATCCACCCTCCAAGAGATGTTCGATTTCGTGAAATGCGCCACCGACGAACCCGTCCTCTTCAACATTGAATCCAAAGTCGACGGCGACTATCACAACCTCACGCGCGGGCCTGAAGACTTTGTGGATGCAATGGGCGCTATCTTCTATGCGCAAGGAGAGGATGTGGTAGATAGGATCACACACCAGAGCTTTGACTGGAGATCTATCAAGCTCTCGAAAGAAAAGTATCCCAACCTGCGGACCTCGGCTCTTTGCGACGACACCACCAGTATGTCTCTTGCCTGATCGTACAACCCTGTCGGTTTTCTGACATATACGCTAGTCTGGGCCAACCACGATAACGGCACTAAAGCCAACCTCGGCAATCCCGGCTCTGGTCCGTCCAACTGGCTTGCCGGTATTGACATTGACAAGCTCGAGGGCGACACCGTTGGGGAGCGAGTTGCTCGTGCTGCTGCTTCCATCAACGCTGACTACCTGTCTCCTGTCGCTACTTCTGTGGGTACACGTTTGGATGCTAAGTTGAATGATACTGATTATAGTCCAGTACGCTTCCAATGTGACTGGTCCCGGATTCCCAGGTTTCGTGGCGTTTACCAACAAGACCATGGTCGATACTGCCCACTCTCTTGGGCTTGGCGTCAAACCCTGGACCCCGGAGTACGTATCTAGTGCAGCGTATACCCTCTCTTGATTATCAGCTGATGATGCCTCAAAAGTGTAAAGAACCTGTTCGAGTACATCCTGGCTCTTGGCGTCGAAGGTGTCATCGTCGACTACCCTTACGAGTACAGGCGTCTGCTGGAGCAAAAGGGAAACTATGCCCTTGCTCCTCGAGGAGACACCAAAAGGATCTTCTCATGCCTATCCAAGCACAACCAGTTGACCGATAACAGGCTTGATGGAAAGGGTTACGTTTGAGATGTAGGTTAGTTTTAACTGGAAAAGAGGAAAGGAAGAGCCGCGATAGAGGATTTAGAGAAAGTCGTCATCTTGACACTTATAATTCTGTTTCCATCCATTTTTTATGGCTTATAATGTCGGACAATTCAGGTAAATAATCGATCACTGTACCAACCGTAGTATCAAGAGACTTCCCAAGATGCATTAATATACTGTAAAGTACTGTATACTGTACAAGTATAAACAGCCCTTATCGATGTGTGACCTCAACGTCCATGCTCGTTCCATACCCATGATGATACCTGATCAGATGAGTTCGACTATGTATAGATGTTTGATAATGTTCCAGGTTAGGTAAAACAAGATCGTTGCGATAGTCGTGATCGACATCTCTATCTTTTTTTGCTCGTTAGATCGTTGCCACCAGCTGATTGGATACGTCTACTGTTCGTTCACCGACTTCAAAGTCCCAGCAGCACTCCCCGGCCTCGCGACCAGCACCGGCAAGCTCGTCCTCCTCACCACCCCCTTTGCCGTCTCCGCCATTGGCTCAACTGCTTTGACAGCTGGGGGCTTTCCAGTAGCCATCCGCGAAACGTCCGATACTCTGTTATGGCGTGTTGACGAGCCAAGAGGAATGCGGGTAGAAGATCGAGAGGCAGCCACGGTGTTGCTTTGAGGACGAGTAAAGGCGGGGGCAGCGGATGTTGACATTGTAAGGCGGCGCGGAAGGGGAGTATGGTCGAGGCCGCTGCTGGGAGTGGGCGTGGACGGAATGCGAGAGGCGGAGGGGGACACGATAGAGGTGGTTGACCTCGGCGCGCTGCGAGTAGGCGTAGGAGCATGATGCTTCTCCTTCCTCTGCAAAAGCACGACTTCCATCTGCTTGCTGTCGAGAGCTACATTCAACAGCTCCTTATCCTGCTTCAAGTCCCCAATTTTCTTCTCCAAATCCACTCGAGCCACTTCGCCCATAGCCGACTCCCTCCGAAGCTCTTCGACCTGAGTACGCAGCTTTGCCTCGCTGAGCTTGAGCTCGTCGATATCGGCCATGTACCGCTCAATCCTCCATTTGGAGTCTTGTGAAGAGACTTTGCCGCTTTCAGCTTCCAGCACGGCAGAACGAAGCGCAGAGTCGTGAGAAGACAAGCGGGTCTCTAGCTCTTGGACTTGCTCTCTGAGACGCTCAAGACACCTCTCCGAGTCCTTGCTCTGTCGTTCGCTAGCGGCCTTGCTCTGCGCCACAGAGTCTTCGGCGTCAACGAGGGCATGACGGATATTGGCGAGCTCGGTCTCTTGCGCGGTGATGAGAGCAGTTTTGTGCTGGAGAGAGGCGTCTTGAACGGCAAGCCGGTCTTGAAGATTTTCAAGGTCACGCATGGTGTTGGCGAGCTGCCAAGAAAGTTCCAGAACCTCTGAACGAAGCTGAGAAGCTGATCGGCCTTCGGTGGTAGAAGCTCGATTCAACGTCTCGTATAGCTATCTCAAGTCAGCGCCAACTCTCAATGACCTCGAAAGACACCACTCACCTCCTCCCTCTCCTCGTCCCAGCTTCGCTTCTCCTCCATAAATCTAGCAAGCATCTCATTCGCCCTCATCCCCGCCATCTCCCTTTCCGCCCCAAGCCTCGTCGCTTCCTCGACCTGCTCTCTCATCTTTCCCAACGCCTCTTGCGCCTCGAAAAACTTTTCGTTCGTTTCAAAGCGGACCAAACGGAGCTTTTCGGTAAGCTCGTCGATGTTTCGGTCTTTGGCGACGAGAGACATCTTGTGGGTTTGAGTGTCGGCGAGGGAGGAGGTGAGTTGGGTTTGGAGGTCGGCAAGCGCAGCCTTCAGAGTGGCGATGGTGGCGTCGCGCTCCCTGACAAGGACCTTCGATGCGACAAGCTCTTGGGACGACTCGGCGAGATCGAGGACCTCACATTTGAGAGAGCTGATCTCCAGGCGCAAGGTTGAGATCGTCCCATCCTTTCCTGCGAGACGCTTTTGCTGGTGTTTGACCTCCTTGGCCAGCTCGGCCGCCCGCTCCTTACTCCCTCTCAACTCGAGCACTTCGGCCTCGGCATCCCGTAGCTGCGCCTCGCACCCCTCAAAGTCCGCCAGCTTGCTCTCCACGTACTCCAGCTCGCTCTTCAAATCAGAGACAGCGTCATCCGCCGCCGTCTTCGCCTTGAAGAGTCTGCCGTTCTTTTTTTGCAGCTCTCTCAGCTCACATTTGAGTTGCTTGTTCTCGGTTTCAAGCTCGATCAGGGATTGCTCGGCCGTTTGTTTGGCGGAGAGGTGGTGTTCGTTCTCGCCTTCAAGAAGTTCGCAGCGTTCTTCGTAGAAGACCTTGTCCTCGCGGATCTGATCGACAACGCGTTCGTTGGCGGTCAGTGCTTGACGAAGGTGCTCCAGAGCTAGTCACGCGTCAGCATCCACTCATCCAGAATGCACAAGACTCACCTTGATCCTTCGCCTCACTTATTCTTTGCCCCTCTTCTAGATCAATGACCCTTCCCTCCGCAAACGCTCCCAGCTCCTCCTTTTCATCCCTCTCCTCCTCCAGCGCCATCCTCAGATCCTGCTTCTCTTCCCTTTCTTCAGCCAGCCGACGACTCATCTCTGCCACCTCGCTCTTCAGAACTTCCATCATAAGGACGCCAGCCTTGACTTGCTCTTGAAGGGACTGAGAGTGCTCAAGGTGAGCATCGAGGAGCTGCGGCGAGA